CGCAATCGAAGGCATTCACCATAAAAATACACCGACGACAAATGCTTCCTATCGGTGTTGGCACCCCTTGGTGCCTTTTGTTTTCCTCAAAGATCCTCGACACTCTGGACTGCTGTCACTGTTTAGAGGTTAACTGGAATTAGCCACCGTCGCCTGGGAGGTTTCCCAAAACTGATGTTTGACCGCTATTTTTAGATTGAGAATACTGGGAGTTGGAGCAGACAATGAAGTCTTTGTTTTTAAGGTTTTGTGTGTGAACTAGGCTGCTGCAAATGGCTAGCCATAGCGGCGAGTTGTTTCCTCAGTGGTCGTGACTCCGCATGTATGGGACAGACGACAATATATATTTTTTTAGGAACCAACAAAAAGTAAATTTTGATATAGAATAAACTTGATCAAAATTTTGGTAGAGTGTATTTTATTGTACCTAACTGTTTCGGAAAGGTTTTAAAACTAGATTTTATAGACTCGTTTTTTTATATTGTCAGAGATGCTCTAAGTTGGTACTTCCTCCATCTCTAAAATATACGAGTTTATTCTAAATAAAAAAATTTAAACTTTGATCAAGTTTATACAAAATATATGTATCAACGTCTATAACACTAAAACGGTGTACTATAAAAATGCATTTTAGGATTAATCTAACACTACTTAACATAAATATTGATACCTCGTTTATTAACTTGATCAAATATAGTTTGAAAAAATAAAATAGTTTGACTTAGAACAAAATTAACTAATTTTCTCTTTTTTTTAATGGGAGAGCAGTAAATATCAAATGACAGTGTCATGGAACACCAGCCCGCGGATTGGAGCTCGGATGTCGTATTGCATTCTCAGGAACATACCAAAGCTCAGTACATTATTTCAAAATGATTCTATATTCTAAAAACTAAATATTCTAAAATTAGGAAACTTACCCTCTGATGAGCACATCTCAACCATGCATGCTCCCTAAAGTATCAACTATCCACCGTCCAACAAAAAAGATACAAAAACTACACGGGTAGGTGAAGTTTTATTCCTAATTGATTGTGATTTCAACACTTCTAAGGATGTTATACTGCCTAAATAATGTTCTACATTGATGTTACTTAGGTTTACATTTGAAGAAGTGGAAGATACATGGCCTAAGCATCAAGACACAGTGCTACAACCGGACTAGTCTAATGGGGAAGGACGACCGAACCAGTCTGATACAAAGCTTATCACTCTGAGTACTTTATCCCTTGATTCCCTAAAACTTTCGTGGTCTAAGAGAACTTGATAAAAAAAACTTATCAAGTCCAGTTTACAATACCATTCACTCTGAGTACTTTGGATTTTCCATTAATGGATCTGAGTAGTTGAGACTGCTAAGTCCTCTCGAAGTTGACAGTACCATCATAAAGAAACCGCTATAACTCTTGATTCCTGAAGGTTATGGAGGTCAAGTACTTGACCGAAAGCTTATCAAAGTCTAGTTTCCAATGCCACCAGGTCCGAGTGTTTTGGATTTCCCAATGTTGAGATTCGACCTGATCAGCAAAGACTGGTCAGAAGGTCAGGAGTCTTCTCAAAGATTTGTTTATGTTTAACTTCTCGTGCAAAACTATACCATTATACAACTTTTCATGGTGCATACTGCACATGGCTGGAAAACTTATCAAGTCCACTTTTACAACCAACAAAAGGCTCGTCATTTTGACTTCCCATTGAAGAGTTATGACTCTATTAGTGCGACTGCTCAGGAGACCAACAACCGCTTGAGGATTCTTGGGAACCCATTTCGTGAAAGCCTTTTCACATAGTCTATCTTTTCACCTTCATTTCGTTTTCATACCCATCTAGGAGGGTTGTTACTAGTATAAATGTCATTGTGCTTCTTAGCAAATAGAGACATTTGATGATCAAAATACATAACGTCTTTATTCAGCTGTGTGCTAACAAATATTGAGAGTGATCTCTACCCCTTTGCTCTTGTGATTTTCTTCGTGGGATTTACAGAAGCAACGACTTCATCCACTCTCAATTAGTTCTCCTACTCCCTTAAAGGATCTCCTCGATTGATTGTAGGTTGTGTTGATTGGCTCTCCGATAGTGTGGTTGGGCGAATCCTTGATTCTGGCTGCCGGTTAAAGACGGTGGTTGGCTTCGAGTTTTATTTATCAATTAAGTTCCACTAGTTATCACTGCTTGCAGCAAGTTTTTTTGGTAGTTCTACATCTATCAAGACTGTAATCCTATGTCGTGGAGATCGGGACTAAGGCTTCATCACCCTCCATGTACTTCATCGGTCCCAACTTATATATTATTTTAGTTTTGTCCGTGGCAGAGCCACCACTCGGCCACTCTAGGCGGCCAGGCCAGGCTCGACGGCTCATCGACGAACTTCAAAAGAGATTTTTTTTCTTTATATCTAAGAAAACACTATAATTTTCTAGGTAATTTTTTTGTATAATGAGAATCGTTCGGGATCCAAAAAGCTTGAACTTAACAGTCTGGCTTATCAGCCATGGTACAGTGTTTTTCTCTCATAACAAATCAACATCAGTCGACTTATCAGCTGCAGAAACCATCAGCCGAACAACTCCTTCCATTGGTTTTGTCTAAAAATTTATTTCTCTCACTTTCACCAAGTATTTAAACAAAACATTAACTATTGAGATATATTTTATGAGACTCTTTCTCAAGAACATGTTGAAGATGGTCATTTCATTAAATATGAGTCTAACATGTTGAACATAGTTTTTCTTTAAAACGGCGTGGCTAGTGTCTGGACGTCCGCGTTCGGATGCCCGCGCTTGCTGGCCTACTGCGCCTCCCCGCCTACTCACCCGCCTCGCCGTCTCTTCCATTGGTTTTGTCTAAAATTTTATTTCTCTCACTTTGACCAAGTATTTAAACAAATATATTAACTACCAAGGTATATTTTATGAGACTCTTTCTCGAGAACATGTTGAAGATGGTCTTTTCATTAAATATGAGTCTAACATATTGAACATAGTTTTTTTTAAAACGACGTGCCTAGCGCCTGGACGTCCGGACAGACGCCAGCGCCTGCTGGCCTGCTGCGCCTCCCCACCTACTCACCCGCCTACTCACTCACCTGGCCATCTGCTCGCCCGGCAGCCTGCTTGCATCGCCCGCCTGATCATCTGCTCGCTCGCTGCCCCGCCTGCTTACCTACCTAGCGGGTCGCTCGACCGGTCGATGCTCGCGTCTTCTCGCCTAGCCGTCTGCTGGTCTCCGCTCTCCCGCTTGGCTGGTCTGGTCGCTCGGCCGCTTGCTCGTCTCTGCTCGCCCGCCTAGCCGGTTTACTCACCCGGCCACCTGGTCACTTTCTACTCACTCGCTACCTTGTCTGCTCGTCCGCCTGGAACAGTTGAAACATATGCAACACTAGATCTATTTTTGTAACATTCGGATGAAACAATTACAACATACATCTGAAATAGCTGAAACACTTGCAACATATGTCTAAAACACTTGGAAAGCCATTGGAAGCGTATGTAACATCCAGGTAAAACACTTGCAACATATGCGTGAAACATATGCAACATCCAAAATAAACATACTTGCAACATGAAAAACTGATGAAATATTTGGAACATCCTTGCAACATGCGTGTGCCATTCACAACATATGTAACATCCCGATCTACTTTTATAATATCGATTTAAAACACGTGCCACACCTCTAAAACATCTAGAACACTTGAAACATACGCTTTCAGCGTAATGTAACCTTACTGCTTGGACGAATGCCAACTTGCGCTTTCGAGCTTGACGCCAGCGCGGAGGTCGGCGGCGGCGCATGGAGCTTGCCGGTGCCCCAACGGAAGCACTGCGTTGGGCGAGCACCTGTGCGAGGCCGCGAGCAGTGCTGGACTAGCGCGCGGCCTACTTGGCGAGCACCGCCTGCAGCACCCCTAGCGAGCGGCCAGCAGCCGACGAGCACCCCCTGCCCGGCGAGCACGAGCAGGCCAGCAGCTGGCGAGCATCGGGCTAGCGAGCACGAGCACCACCAGCTACACAACAACTGGCGAGCACCCCCTGGCTGGCAAGCACGAGCACCCCTGGGTATGGGTAGAGAGATTTTTTTATTTTTAAAGATCACAGACATGAACAAGCGGACAGCGTGGTAGCGAGTAGGAAGCTGTGTCAACCCGTCTCCTCACGGGAGCATTACCGTTTTTAGAAAGGTCTTACAAAGTGATGGGAACAAAGTGGAGAGAAGCATTACTCTCTAAAATTAGTTCGTTTTCGAAATTCTTGGTTCTCGATATTCCGTAAGTTCATGTTCACTAAAATAGTTGAAGGATTTTCTAACCATTTCGGTCGGTTTTCATCCTAACGTGACAGCGATACCGATTTACTTGAAAGAAAGAACATCCATGCTAGCGACTATTGCCGGCAGACGCCACGGCACGTTCCCTATCCAGACCATCTCTCCCGTGGGTGAATTTTTTTTGCCTGATTGGTTGGCTTCTAATTCTTGCCCAGCCAAAATTATGGTATGCTAAATTTTGTAGTTATCAATTGGTTGATTATCAAAAAATTAGCACACAAATATTTATGGTCAAAGTTTTAGCAAGTCTCTAAAAAGTTCTTAAACTACGCAAAAGAGAAATTTGGTAAGCTTTAATTTTAGCTATCAATCAAACGCACAAATATGTCTTTTATTTTAACTTTGGCAGCTTTGATTCTGACAAACTTAAGTTGGTTGGGCAAAAAATTGGTACCAACCGATCAGGACCTTTATTCGCACGCCCACTCTCCTTCCGCACCGCTAGCAAAGCAAACGCAGCAGCAGCAGCAGCAGCTTTTGATTCTGTCTTTCTCTCTCCACCTCCTCTCCCAAGTCCAAAGTGGCCAAGTCCCACTACGCCGCCGCCGCCTCCTACTCCCTCTGCGACTCTCCTCGCCCGCTTCCAGCACCTGCACATCAGGAACCTTGACCCCGAGGCGGCGAGGCTGCGCCGAGCCGCCGACTAGCTCCGGCGGCGCCCGCCAGTCACCATGTCCGTCCCCGGCGTCGTCTCCCCGGCCGCCGACCGCTTCTACTGTCCCCCACCGCGCCGCCACCTCCTTGACAAGCAGCACAAACAGCATCCGCCACTAACTGCCTCGGCGGCCGAGGAGCCGTCGAAGCCGACGCCGGAGCTCCGGCGAGACCCTTTTCCATCTCCGGCAACTGCTACGACCAACCTCGAGAGCTTCATCGCCTCCACCACCGTCCGCGTGCCCGCGCGGTGCCCTCCCCGAGTGCGTCCGCCGGCGCTTGCTTGCCTCTCGTGTTTTCCGTACGTGCTGACGGCTGACGGGGTCCGGTTGGGCTGTTCTTGTGCGCTTGCAGACGCCGGGCACGCGGGGGTGCCGGGCAGGAGCGCCGTACTACGAGCTCGCGGATCTGTGGGAGGCGTTCGGGGAGTGGAGCTCGTACGGCGCCGGCGTGCCGCTGCTGCTCAATGGCACGGACGGCGTCGTGCAGTACTACGTTCCATTCCTCTCCGCTATCCAGCTCTATAGGTCACGGCCGCCGCCGTCAAGCAAGAGGTAGTATAACAGGCTCACAGCTGTCATTTTTTCTCTTGGAATCTGCGGGTACCTACATTGAATGAATTGACATTGTGGAAACTGACTTCCTCTATTCTGTCAATACTTGGATATGTTAGGCCAAACGTATTTGAAGGATTGTTGCCATTCCATTCTTTTGTATTTGTTCTAGAAACACTGAACTCTACTTTATCTTAAAACCAAATGTAGAAAGGATATTGGGAAAACACCTCACCCCTAATGAGGGGGGTGACCTCTATTATATAGCCAATCAGGCTTGGTATATAAGGAATACAATCAGTGTACATGGAAGGAATGAACAAGCTTCCTAATACACATATATACTTCCTAACACCCGCCCGTAGTCGTAGTGGGAGGATCACGGACGCAAAGACTGGACCGAAACTCAGTGAACAATGGAGTTGGAAGGCCCTTCGTCATGATGTCCGCGAACTGGTGAGAGGACGGCACATGGAGGACCCGGACCTCACCCAAGGCTACCTTCTCACGGACGAAGTGGATGTCAATCTCGATGTGCTTCGTGCGCCGATGATGGACCGGATTGGCTGTCATGTATACTGCACTCACGTTGTCACAATAGACAATAGTGGCCGAAGCAAGTGGGACATGAAGCTCCTGGAGAAGTTGGCGCAGCCAACAACATTCGGCCACAGCATGAGCCACAGCACGATACTCCGCCTCAGCACTGGATCGAGATACCGTGGTCTGGCGCTTGGAGGACCAAGACACTAGATTGTCACCGAGGTAGACGCAGAAGCCGGAGGTGGAACGTCGAGAGTCTGGGCAGCCAGCCCAATTGGCGTCGGAGTAGGCAGTCAGAGACTGAACAGAGCCGGTGCCGATGTGAAGTCTGGAGGAGAGTGTGCCCTTCACATAGCGCAGGATGCGCTTGATTAGGGCCATATGGGGCTCGCGCGGATCATGCATGAAGAGGCACACCTGCTGAACCGCATATGCCAAATCTGGTCTAGTCAGGGTGAGGTACTGAAGGGCCTCAGCAAGGCTTCGGTACTCAGAGCCGTCCTGGAGCTTGGCGTCGTCCTGTGCTGAGAGCTTGGCATGAGTGTCAACGGGAGTCACTGTAGAGTGACACTCAGCCATGCCAGCACACTGAAGAAGATCCAGGGCATACTGTCGTTGAGACAGGAACAGGCCCTGGGAAGAACGCGTCACTGAGATGCTGAGGAAGTGATGCAGGGCTCCAAGATCTGTCATGGCGAACTCAGAGTGAAGGCGCCCCATGATGTGCTAGAGAAGAGTCGAGGACGACGCGGTGAGGACGATGTCATCGACATATAGCAGCAGATAGGTGATGCTCGGCCCCTCTTTGTAGACAAAGAGGGACGTGTCGGAGATGGAGGCGATGAAGCCGAGCTGTCGAATTTAGGAGGCGAACGGCCGGTACCCGCCCTCGGTGCTCGCCGATCCATACAAGGACTTCTGGAGGAGACAGACGTGATCTGGAGAGGCGGGGTCGACGAAGCCGGAGGTGTTGGCGATGAAACGATCTCGGTGAGATGGCCGTGAAGAAAGCGCGTTCTTCACGCCCGGTGGTGGATCGCCAGCGCGAAGTGGCAATGCCGAGGACGGTCCGTATCGCATTTGGTTTGACAACCGGATGAAGGTCTCGTCGTAAGTCGATCTGTGGTGGCCGGGAGAAGCCTCTCGGACCACCCGGTAGGCTTTGTGCCGCAAGCGTAGTGACCCATCGACATGGAACTTATGCGGAAGATCCACTTGCCCGAAACACGACATTAGCACCGGGCGGCCGCGGGACGAGGCGCCAAGTGTCGTTGTCCATGAGAGGCGACGCGCGATTGGCGTCGGCCGAGCATCATGCGGTAGTTTGCCGGAAGCTGAGAGGGCGATGATGGCGAGGCCGTCAAGCCCTGGTAGGACACCCGCTGAATGGCCCCGGCCACGACCCGAGGAGTCGTGTAGTAGAGCGAGGAGGTGGCGGCGACGCTAGGATCGCGGGCGCTGAGGTGCCGCTTGAGCGCGGTGGCAGTGGCGCGCAGAGGTGTGGCGCTGTCTGCTTGGTGCCAAGACCATGGGCGTCGGCGTTGTTGAGAGGCGCCGGCAGTGTGCGCAGTGTTGCCGGTGGCCGCCGTGTAGTGAGTAATGGCGGCACCACCGGCCGGTAGTAAACCTGGGCGGCCGGTGGAACCCCTAACTGCAGGGAGCGGGGACGACGCGTCAGCGGTCCGATCTGCAGCTTGAGGAAGAGGGCGGCGGCCCCGCCCGCAGAGCGAGCACTGGTACACGGCGGGCCGCGTATCGAGATTGCGGGTCATCGTCGGGAAGTTCCTGCAAAACAGCGGGTGATGGCTGCGGCTGCGCAACGTCCGAGGACGGAACGACTGAGGCAAGAGTAGGAGCAGCAAAGGGGCTCGGCAAGAGGAAGTCGAGCTGTGACGGGTGAGTAGGGTGGGAGGAGAAAGGAAAAACGGACTCGTCGAAGACAACATGGCGAGAGATGATGACTCGACGGGTGGATAGGTCAAGGCAGCCCTTTGTGGGACGAAGGGTAACTGAGGAAGACACAGGCTGTAGATCGAGGAGCAAGCTTGTGGCGTGCCGTGGTGAGAGATTAGGATAGCACAGACAACCGAATACACACAAGTGAGAGTATTCGGGGGGCTGTGAATAGAGGAGTTGGTAGGGAATGTTATTCTGAACAGCAGAACAAGGGCGCCTGTTCAGAGGATAGGTGGCGGTGGCGAGTGCCTTGGCCCAGTATGGGGCGCCCATGGAGGCGTGTATCAGTAGGGTGCGAGTGACATTATTAAGGGTGCGGAGGACACGCTCAGCTTTCCCATTCTGAGGAGAAGTATAGGGACAGGAGAGGCGCAGGTGGATGCCCCGAGAAGTCAAAAAAGATGTGTCTTATTGACAAACTCGGTTCCGTTGTCAGCCTGTATGCTGCGAACGGGAAACTGAACTGTGTATTGGCATATGCACAGAAGTCTATGATGTGTTTGGTGACTTCAGACTTGTGAACAAGAGGAGTTGTCCAACAGAAATGTGAGAAGTCATCCAAAATGACAAGGTAGTAGCGATAACCAGAAATACTAGGTACCGGAGAAGTCCAGACATCACAATGGACTAACTCAAAAGGAGTGGAACTGCGAGAGCTGGAATTAGAGAAAGGTAACCGCACATGTTTCCCTAATTGACATGAGTGACATAGAGTGTGACTGTCTTTATTACAAGTAATGGATGCTTTCTGTCTAAGTGTAGTGATGGCGGTAGGACCAGGATGACCGAGACGGAGATGCCACAAACTGGAGGAGATGGCGGTAGGACCAGGAATGAACAAGTTTCCTAATACACATGTATACTTCCTAATACCAAAGAAACTAAGAAACTGAACCGCTGCTACTGCTAAAGATTAAAGAAGATATCGGAATGTTCCATGAGCGTGTCTGATCTTGCTAGTCATATGGAACTAATGGATGCATGTTATCATGCACATTGAAATGATTAGGCCAGTCGACGTGCTCTTCTTGAACCAGGATCTGGCTTTTTGTTCTATAGATACTAATTAATTGATGAGCTTCTTGCTTAAATATCTCAGTAATCATTGCCTTGTATCTTACCCTGTGCCTGATGTTAACTTTAATCATGCAGTATTACTAGCTTGGATGTTCTCTGCAGTACATTTTGGAAACAAGTCTGAATATTTTCCAAGTGGCTGTAGTTAGTCTTGCTTATGCATCTGAACAATTGAACAAAGTACACTTCTTATTCTATAAGCCCTCGTACAGTCGTACTTCTATTGTGGCATGAGCTTCCTGTCTTATGGCATGCCTCGTCTGTGTGACCCAAGTCTCAAGTTAGTCAAGCCAACATTTGGTACCTTTGACTAATTTTGGCTACCATTTGGTTGAGTGCCAAAAGATGTAATGGTAGCTCCCCTCTAGGCTACCTTAGTTGTCAAAGTTCGCCAATATTAAGGCCACTAAAATTGGCGACCTTGATTTTTATAAAAAAAACTAGACCAACATAGGAGGAAGTGGGTGGCTATAAATTAAGAAATTGGCACCTAAATTTGTGTCAGTGAGGACTTGAAGTTGGGTGGTCTGGGCTTTACATCCATACCCTCAACCAATTGAGCTAGGCTTAGTTTCAATTGTGACCTCAATTTTGGCATTCCAAATTTGGATTGTCTACTTTATGAAAAATTTTAGTGCAAATCAAACAGCCCCATGGTCTTGCTTGTTATATTAAAGCATGGTTAACATTGAACACTCCGTTCCTGCAAATTCTGCATGCTACCATTCATTTGAGGCTGTAATTGCTGCATGGACCATCAAATCATCATTGAACATTATAATGACCATTACATGTTATTTACAGCAGCATGCCAGCATGTGATACTAACATTAAACATGCAAAATATTTTTAGGGTAACTTTAGTTATACTTGTTAGGCATCTGAATGTATCTTTTTGTTGAACAAAATGTACCTTTTTTTCAGAACGACACCATTTCTTTCTATATATCAAGACCTATAAATAATTCAAGCAGGAGATCTTATCCAAAGTTGTCCGCTTAGCTTTAACCAACAGGTTGTGATTGAACTGATCAGATGAATGATTCATCGGCTGAACTGTTCTGATTGTGGTTCAATAATGGTGACAGTATTCTTGAAAACCAGAGCATATCAGCATGGCTATACTTGCTTGAAAAGAACATGAATCATAGTACCATTCTCTTGGCATCTGACTAACTGACTAGAGATCTGTTTCCAGCAAGTTATCTAATACCATGGTTGAGGCATCGCTGACCAGCTCTTGAGAGCTATAATTCCAGCTACCAACAAATCTGGTAAACCCCAAACCAGCGCAAGGAACTGGTCATGAAAGCTGCTCCTACACCTCAAAGAATTGTGCCCCCACCCTGCAACCACATCACCTTTTCATAAAAAGCATTTAAGTTAATCCAGACTATTCTGGAGCATGGTGAGCAATATAAATTTGCCTATGATGAATTCATTTCTTATGCTTCTTTCAAATTTCTCAAAAAAAATATACAAGAATTTCATTTGCATTGTTGATTCAAAAATAGGCTGTCAGAAGTGTTAGAACACAGAAAGATTGATTGTGTTACTGCACTGCTTGCTATTTTAAGTCGCTGAATCATCAGGTTTCAGCTTGGCTGATAAATCTTTTGTTGGCTTCTCTCAAAGCTGAAAGTTTGCCTTGAAGGAGTTGGGCTTCCCTGAGCTGTTTCAAACCTTATAAACCACAGTTTCCCTAGAACACATTGATTCATTTTTAAGGAATAGAAGTCTCTGATTTACAATTGTTTGGGTTTATTACGAGAGCACTTTTTAGATAATGGAGGTAATCTCTGGCTTCAGCAACAACTAGAGATGAAGAGCTACTTAAAAATGTGGGCAGTGGAGTCATGCATCCACAATTCTAAACATAAACTTATTTGTTCAGATAAAAAGAAACTAGTTACTGGTGAAACAATAAATCAGAATGCTTGACTGTGTTTCAGCTTTCTATGAATTGGATTAGCGGAGACATCTTAGAAATAATGTGTCATTTCTTCAATAATACATGAATACATCAGTTGTTACTATTGTTGTGTACTCTTCTGGTCAACTTTCCCTTAGACAATTATGATCTTCTGAAACTGTTTTTTGTTTTCAGCTGCAGATGCCTTAATGAAGACAGTGATGGTGACAATGCTCTGGACACAAGCAGTGATGTAAGCAATGAGAGTGACAATGACAATGAAAGGTCTATTGGAAGAACAACCCAGTGTTTAGCAGAAAACATTTGCACCGATCAAGAAAGTTTGTCCAGTGATGACTGTGAGTCCAGCAACCAGGAATCGTCCCCTGTTTTCCAATATGTGGAGCATGATGCACCATATGGAAGACAACCTTTAGCAGATATGGTATGTCGTCTTTTGTGGTTCTTGTGCAACCAAATGTAGTATTTGTAACCTAGCTGACAGTTGCTCTTTTATTAATGCCTACAGATTTCAGTATTTGCATGTAAGTTTCCTGATCTAAATACGTACAAGAGCTGTGATCTTCTGCCGTCCAGTTGGATTTCTGTAGCCTGGTACTTCCTTTAACTCCTTTAGCTATTGGTTCATTAGTTACATAGCTGTCTTACCCAATGCAAGTTGATTGCAGGTATCCCATATACCGGATACCAACAGGACCCACTCTACAAAATCTAGATGCTTGCTTTTTAACATTCCATTCATTGTCAACAGCACCTGACGGTGAGCACTCGTGTTTCTTCTTGGTGGAAAACAATGCAAATTAGCATACCCTGTCCTGTGCAGAATATATGTCTGGTTGCATATTAAAAGCAGCAGTAAACCTGAAGAATTTCACTTCTGAGACATTTGCTAATTAGATGCAATTTTGGGCAGGTACGATAAGCGGGTGTCCTGAGACAAATAACTTCCATAACAATAAAATTGCTGCTGTTCCTGGGAAGATCACACTGCCTCTGATCGGCCTAGCATCTTACAAATTTAATGGTTCCCTGTGGACGTCAAATCAGCACCATGAGCAGCAGTTGACTACATCCCTTCTGAAAGCTGCTGATGACTGGCTTTGCCAGCGTCAAGTAGATCACCCAGATTACCGCTTCTTCCTAACACACTAAATTGGATCTTGATCCAAACTCTCTACCTACTGAATACCACAGCTCGATGCCCACTAGTTATTCAATGAACTTGCATTATCGCTATATATAGTACACAAGCACAAGTATCTATGCTTTGTAATATCAATTTTGGGGCTTAGTTTATGTTAGTCCCATATTGGTATCTAGTCAGGAATAGTTGGTGATTGTTTTGGGGTTGTGCTCTAGGAACCAATTAGACATAAATCACCAAAATTTTGTTCAGTGGCAAATACGGGTGGGTGGTGTGCAACCGAGCTAAGTAGGAGGTTGGTTGGTGATATACATTTTGCATACTTCAAAGGTGGTTCTAGGATATATTGAAAATATTTTTCTACTTCCCTCATTGTGTTTGATATATTGTTACCTATGCAGTGATGCTGCTGGATTGTTATTACATATGTATTACCCCGAGAAATATCTTGTGTTAATGCAGGTTAGGGTGTGTGAGATCATGTGATGAAAGTTTGGTTTGAAATGAAATCGGCATTGCAACATGATTGGAATTTTTGGTATAGGTAATGCGTATGTGTTGCTTATATATGCTTGTGATAGCATGATTATTGGATAAACTTGTGGTGTTGTCAAATTATTGGTTATTGGATAAACTTGCGGTATTGTCAAATTATCTTGAGTTTTAGACCTCCAATTGATGTGATATTTCGGTTGGGTTATTTAAAAAAAATTATCTAGTTTATTCTGACCAAGTTTGAGATCAATCAGAGTTACGTTTTTTTTTTTTTTTTTTGAGATTCAGTGTTCTGTCTAGAACATAAAATGAGGTGCAATGTTTTTGAGAGCTCATATTTTACATGCACATAGATGATTTCATTCTCCACTCATATTTTGGTTGCAATTTTTCAAGTACTGGTTTAGGCACTATCATGTTTGGTAACATGACAACGCCTAAATGGTGTCACCAATTGATACGTTTGGTAGACTATGCTGCTAGTATTTTCGTTTTCTCTGCCTATTGCTTGATAACCGTTATGTCTATTTCAATGCATAAATGAGACCACCATTAGGTTAGTGCAATATCTTGTGCTTCCTCTTGTAAAAAATACTGGCCACATTTGACTGTGCATGACCTTTCATGCATATGACCATTAATTCTTCTAGAATATATTTTCGATATCCTTAAAATTTATAAGATTTCGCAAGTAATTTCCAATATGATTTTATAATATAGATGTTTAAAATTAAATACTGGAGGGAGTATGATTTTTTTATCTGCTCGCAAGTAATATTTTCAGAAGACGGGTCATATATATTCATATGCGGAAATTGAGTGAATACAAACCTGGATGCACATGCACTTGCAGACTTGCCGTGGCAGTCATTAGAAGCAGGTGCAAGCACACCACTTATTTCAAGATTTCAATATGGGGCATTACTAAACAAGGTTTTCCACAGGGCTGAGAGAAACCAGACTGCAGCGTCACACTCACACCTGAGACTCCGAAGCTGAACACAAGCTCCCACGAAAAGAGAGGAGGGACACAAAACAACAAGGCCACACCGCAATATAGCACCACTGCTCCGGCTGGCTCGGCAACGGTTTTCTTATAGCTTTAGGGACGGACGCCTGGAGCCTTTCCAACGCCGGCGGTGTTGCGCTGGTGGCTCACGTTACGTGGGCTCTCGTCCGGCGCCGTTGAATGGCCGCTGAACGTGGCGCGGGTCTCCGACGCGGCGGAGACGTCAGGGTCGCCACTGACCGCGCCGCCGTCTTGAGCCATGCGGGGCGACGGTTGGTTCCCGTGGCCAGTAGCAGGGCTGGGACTGTCCACGGCTGTGCCCTCGAAATTCGAGGCATTGTTCCAAACTCTAAAAGAGGCGTATTAAAAAAAATGATATACGCATACATAGCAATATGATAAATAAAAAATCATACCTATTTATTTTGTGATTGCATAATTTTTATTTGAACACAATATCATTCTCTTAGTGTTCTTTAAATTATTTAACAGAATTGAAATAAAAAGACTTGTTTTCACTGGTTGAGTAGTAATTTGTGATCCTCGCAAAAAAAAGAGAGTAGTAATTTGTGTTTTTTATCGGATGTGAGTGTATGCACCATCAACCGTTTTGCGCAATACAACAGTTCTACATCTACTTATAGCAACGAGTAATTATTCATTAACATAAAGAAATATTTGTATCGATAAATATAAGATAATTAGTCAATTAGATAATTACTTTCCACGAGTTGAGGTCTTTAGGAATCAGGAATTTACCCCTTGTGACCTACACCTGGGCGCTGGCCTCCAGACCTCCATCCGGCTTGCAGCTTGCTTGATCACGGAGATGTAGAGACAGTGAAGCCAGGATGGGAGAGCCGAGGAGATGGATTGTTGGAGATGGATGCCATGCGCCGGTTTGCTTGATCATGAAGACGGGAGACACGGGAAAGCCAGGATGGGACTACGGGAGAGCCAGGGAGACAGATCGACGTAGATCGATTCAGGTAGCGCGATATAGGAAGAGACGTATCATCAGGAGTAATCTGAAAGTCGGCAGGGCTTAATGCGCCATAATTTTTGGGGCCTCGTGGAATTTGGGGCCTGTAGGAACGCATGGCTTGCACGTCCGCCGGCACGGCGCAGGGACCGTCGTTTGTGGGTGAGGTGTACATGACTTCAACGGCCGGGGGGGCACTGCAGGAACACGCCGGCGCGTGTCGTGCTAATGTTTTATGCGGCGAAGAGGTGTGCGGCCAGGAGGACGGGGAGGAGGAGTGCTCCGGTGAGGAACGATCCTGCCATTGCTTGTCCGACGCCTGTCGTGCAATGAGGCCTGGATGGGGGCGGGAGAGAAGTGCGATGTGTGTTCAGTGCTAAGACTTGTTTGAGGTGAAGGTGATTGGCTTAGAACGTGCATACCAAGGGCCCGTTATATAGGCAAAGGCAAGGCAGCTTTGAGCCAGCGAGTGTGACAATGCAAGGGAGCCACTCGTAGGTTTTGAATCTTGCACCTGTGAGGTAGTGCTAGCATATCATGAGTGTAGTTGAACCAGAAATTGGGATCGCTAACATGATGCCGTCAGCAAAACATTTGAAGCTCGATGCAGTAAATTCTAGGAGTAAAATGCACAGACAGACATATAACTTGACAGAGTATGTCATCTATAAGTCTCTAGATTCCCAAAATACACATCTAGCTATAGAAACTTGGATCACGGCTACGTCACAGGTCCAAACAGTGCAGGTCTTGACCGAACTCACTTGCCGATGTGGCAGTCCATGCTAGCGGCCGAATTGTTATTAGGCTTAGTGGAGGCTAGATGATGCCCTCAAAGAGTTCGGCAAATTGCCCAAATCAGCACCGCATGCGCTTGAGCCTACGTCATCAGTCGTTCGTCACCGTTGTAGAGGCCATCCACTCTCACGACCCCACTAGTCACTCCAACATCATAGACGACAAGTTCTCCCCCACAGCTCCACCGTAGAATGCCATGGCGTCCTCCTTCAACACAGCTCCAACGCGATTGTGAGCGTTGGGTTGCGGGCCTGCGGCACATCTTTTTGCTTGCCAGTACCCTTCCCTCCGGCGCAAATATGGCGTGGTGGCGCCAACAGAGGACGAATGGCGCCCAAGCGGGACTGTGGGGTTCTGGTGGGTGCCAGGAGTGGGAGTGGGAGTGGGAGTGTGTCGTGGTTGTGGTGGGGCGGCTAGAGAGAGAGAGAGAGAGAGAGAGAGAGAGAGAGAGAGAGAGAGAGAGAGAGAGAGAGAGAGAGAGAGAGAGAGGAGAGAGAGAGAGAGAGAGAACAACATCAATTGTGTTGTGCCTATGCTTGGGGAGAGGAGAGTCTGGCGTCAGCGAGGTGATCACGATGACCCTAGCTTGTTAGGCTAGTTAATATGATTGGAACCTATATTACATAACTTTTTGCGGCAGAGATAGCAACATTTAACAAAATCGTAGTGTACATTTGGATAGAAATCTTATGTTTTGATAAGTAGAAATGGAGACTAAGTTTAGTTTTAGAAAGTCTAATTCACCCCCTCTTCGTAATGTATAATAATGCCTGTTAATATCGTCCGTCGGCATGGACGCAAGATCCCCTTCACCTTCTCTCCTGTTTTATTACGAGTTTATAGTACTTCTCTCCCTTTACTCTTATGCGCTTTTTCATTTGCAGAAAATCTAGTGCTTCAAGTTCTCAATTGGAGATTAGAAAAATGTTAATCAGTATCAGGCATGCATACCGATAAAATATATCTGTAATCATTGCTAATTGTTTAAATTAGTTGGACCTAAAGAAGCCAAAAGTGTTTGTCTCGTCAATATTGTCACGGATGCCCCCCTAACTGGATATTACTTTTCCAAAGAAAGAGAGAACCGACGGAAACGGGTGACAAAGTTTTCACATCACCTGCGCCCAACAGGTCGAACTAACGCCCTTTGTGGCTCTGAGGTACTAGTCCTTCAGGCGCGCCCATACACGTGGTGTACGGACCCCACATATTATTTTGAGAAAAGAAAAGAAATAATGAAAGGTGGACTGTTTTTTGATTTGAGAAAAATCAGAGGATGTTTTCGCAAAAAATGATGAGAGTGTCTATGGAGCGCGGGTTGAATTTCGATAAAGTGGATGTCTTTTTTGTAAACAAACCAGTACGCATCCGTTCTGGACTGCGCGTCGATTTGGAAATAACATGAGGCGTTTTTTGTAAAAAATTCTAAGAGGACGTCCGGAGCGCGGGTTGATTTTCGAAAACTGAAAGGGGTTTTTCGTAAAACGACCGCGGCTCGCCCGATCTGGACCGTCCGCGCGGCCGATCGAACGGCCATGAAATAACAACGACGTGGACGCGCTGGCTGAGCGAGCTGGCCACAACGAATCATATCTTTAGATTGAGGTATCATGTCCTGGCGTTATGCCAACTTTCTCTGAAAGTTTCACAAAAGACTATGGTTACTATGAACAAAATATGGTATCATGTCCTGGCGATCCAATATTGTATTTCACTCATCACAGATATATTCATTACACAGCCGCAAAACTGGATTTTGTTCTTTCTAGGTGATTGATTTTTCATATTACTTTTTTAGTCACTTCTCCTATATTTCAGGTGCTTGAATTTTACAATGATTTTCTGCAACACTCTTATACCACCAACTAGTACAAATAAATTGTTACTTTTATTATTTGTCTTTGTGCCATAACATATCAAGTTTTTTTCCTTGCCCGACTATAGAAACAAATATAAATTGTTAATTGTCAGGTTTATAATTTTGTCTAACGTGTTTCTTATTCTCGAAACTAAAAATTACAGATTATGTCTAGAGAAATTACAACAAACTAAAACTCATTTTAATATAAAATATATGTAATAACCGTAGCATGGCATTAAACCCACAACCCATTAATTGAAATTTCTTTTTCATTTTTTTCTGGAATTAATCTTACAATCAGTGTTTAAACAATCATCTGAAACTCCAATTCCATTGATTCTTCCTAAATTCATCTTAATTTAAATTCAATCATTCTATTAGAATTTTCATAGTTTTTCAATCTCATACGATTTAATTTATAGTCATAAATGTCATTTAGCGTCATAATTTCTATTTTATTTTTTATGAAACCCATTACAAACGCAGACACTCATATACAAGAGTGTGTACTCAATCACTCACATCTATGAACACACACGTACACCCTATCCTTATAAGTCACTGTGTTCGGCTGATGCCTTCAACAGTGGATTTTGGATGATTCAATAGTGTTCTGTGAGAGAGAATAAGCTAAAACAAGCTGGAACAAACTGGAAGTGTACCAGCCGAACGCGGTGAGTATCTACGAAGGACCGACTAGGACGGCAAATCTCGAGATTGATGCAGTCGATTGACATGCCGCTTATCGAATAACGCCATTAAATCTTATAATGAATCCAGAAAAGTACAAGCACAGTTGTCATGTCGAGAACTTGAACTTAAACGGATGTGTTCCACAAGAAACCCGTGTCATAATTTTATTTTATTTGGTCACCTTTTTACTTATTATGAGTATACTAATGTTTTTCTTTAGCATACTAATGTTTTCCATAGCAAAGCATGGACATATTTGCTACTAGTTAAACATATTTCCTTCCTAGGAGGAAAAAGACTACACAACCATTTTATCTATTCCATCCTCATCTGTCTAAGGTCTCTGTCAGAATTCATAGGTCTTAGGGGAAACAGAAATTCCAGAAATTCCACATGATATATGTCAATATTGTAACAGAACCGACCAAATCATAAGAACATAAGTACAAAAACAATCACCGAAGCGATCAAATTCCTGTACTTAAGCTCCCATAATCCCGGTAGTCCGGAAATCACGAAGGATTTCAACCAACTCTCGACATACAAACTAAGACTGTAGTGATTCAACACAACACATCATTCGTTACAACATTTCACAAGTAGCATTCGGATTACACCCATCAGAGTTCAAATAAAATATTACAAACCAAGTTCAAATCTGCGGAAGCAACATAGTTTAGTACATAACTTCATAGTTTCAAATACATTGCCAGATCTTAGTCATGTCCCACAAAAGCACCTTCAGAGATCGAGAACTAGGAGAGACCGTAACCAACGGTCTAGTCTTGACCCCAGTAGGGAGAAGGCAATACTTGCAAAGAACCAAAGTAGAACCGGTCATCATCGCAGCGGTGGGAGATAAACCCTAAGTACGAGAAGGTACTCACTAAACTTACCCGTCAAAACCGAAATAAAAGACACCAAGGA